AGATATTAAAGGCGCACATTAAAGAGACCTAAATGGCATGCAAATGAAAGGGAAAGAAAAATCTCAAAATTAGATTTACAATAAAAGCTGTTAAAACAAACAGGCTAAAATGGATATATTAGAGTAACTTGCAGAAAGAAAAATCTACATAGATATTAAAAAAAAAAAATAACAAGCTGTTTCTGCTATGTCCTTCAGCAAACAGAGTCCAGGGTAAACCCGTCTTGGCTGTCCGATCATGTCAGAGATGAGATTAAAAAAAAAATAAAATAAAGAGCAAGCATGCTTTTACCTACACAAGAGAAAAACATCAGAAGCTCTGAAATGCACAGCGTACATCTGTTTCAAAACTATTTATTTCTACATTAGCAGCACACAGAAGAGACCGAGCACAGGCTTACACAATCTCAGCCCACCTACCGTCCTCCTTGTCCAGCACCATCATCTCCGCAATCAAGAAAAGTCCGGGCACAGATGCTTCTTCTCCAGCAGCCTCCGCTCAGGGGAGAGGAGAGCAAGTCTCTGGGAACACAAATGAGCTACGGTACAGCTGATCGTCCTCTAGCAGCAAGTGAGCTCTAATTACCCAGTTGTCCAGCTTTTAACCTAGATTGCACTCAGTTAGAATTACACTCAGAAATAAAGCACTTTGCAGATACAAAAGCAGTCTCACCTACTTTTGTGCCTCAGAATTGCAAGGAACTAAAACTGCAATTTAGAAAGAAGGGGGATCAGAGCTGTTTCTTTAGTTCTCACCTTCTAAATGGCTCAATTTACACAGTATAATCTATTTTAATGTAATTGCCTTTGATAGCTCATAACCCTGGCAGTTGCAACTACACAGCTTTCAGCCTTATAAAGTGTTTTCCCTTTGGATTTAAGCTGAATCTAAATCCGAAATTACATTCGGAGAGGCTAGAATACCTAAACCCGACCGGCGCTGCCTCTGCCTCTCAATTGGTGAGCCTTGCACACTTGCGATGAATAAATGCACGCGTTTCCCAGGGCCCCCTCCGGAGCTCCAGCCGGGATTTCCTGGCGGAGCGCGGCTTCCCGGCTCAGCAGCACCACCTGCAGCCCGCCCGGCCCCCGCCCAGGTGCCGCCGGCCGGGGCCACCTGCGCCGCCGCCGCCGCTTTGTGCTCCGCGGGGCCGGGCGCGGGATGCGCGGGGGATGCTCGGGGGATGCTCGGGGGATGCGCGGGGGATGCGCGGGGGATGCTCCGGCCCTGCCCCGGCCCCGCTCCCTGCCAGCGGGGATTGTGTCTGGCGCCACGCAGCAGCTCGGGCAGGTCAGAGGCTCTCAACTCTCCGCGGCTGAGTTACGCCAGCCAGCCCCGCTGCTCCCTCCCAGCTGCGTTTCACACGTCTCTGGTGACCTAAAACTTGATACTAATTTTTCTGCGCAAACATTTTGGGTTTGTTTTCACGCGTCGGTATTAGTTTCAGGGTGTACGCCAGAGAACGCAGCTCCATTTTCACTAGGTCGATATTAAAATGAATGTACCTAATCAAACAAGATACAAACCCTTAACAGGTTTGCTCCGCTTTTCAGAAATGCCATCAATGCTCAAATATAAAGCGACAAGTTGGGGGCCCATATCTTTTATCCTACATCCTGCAACTCATTCCTTTTTCAGACAAGTCATCTGTTGTCTCCAATGGCTCTCACAAGGATTGCGGGATCAGACACTTCGCTACCAAGATCAACAGCACCGTTTCACTCCTCTCAGTCTTTTAATCTGAGAAAACATTTCATTTCTGCTTTAATGATACTTCTTCCTCCCCTTTACAACTGATACAACGGTACTCTAAAGAGCATGATAGCGGGATCAAGTTATATATCCTTAATACCGATTTTTAATTAGATTCCTTATCCCCAGCTGAAGTGGCTTTTCCTTCCCCCTTCATTCACAATACTTAATCCTAACAGTCCTTGAGAATATTTGATGTTAAATGTATTGGTTTACTTTGAGCTGTTTTCATCTTGTGCTTCCAACAACTCCTGTTTCCTAGTGATACTAGTTTGCAAGTGCTGAATACGTATTTTAGCGTAAGAGTGAAACCACCATAAATAATCACTTTCTTTTAGGAAGTGTCACAAGCTAGAAAGGAGGAGGACTTTATCCCAAAGATTAAAGTCTAATAGTTAAAAGGATCCAAGCAAAAACTAACAAAACCACAGCCTTTTTTAGATTTGAGGCACTTCACCATTTCCAATATACTATTGGCCTCCATCAGGAAATGGTGAACTCCAAAAATGTTCCATCTTTCTGTCTGTGTACTTTTCAACCCTGCCACCTTCAAAAAGGACAGACTTGATGCAAAATATATGGTACATTTCAACTTCCACTATTTGGTAACTACAAGAAAGGTAAGGTTTTGATAAAAGTTAAGTTAGCCATTGTCTGTCACAGCTGACTTCTGCAGCAGAGCAAACTAGCAGACATAATGCACTCATGAAAAAATATGCAGTGCTGGATCAATGTACATTTTATTCCTTTACTGCTCCATCATGTCATAGAGGCTGGATTACTCCCTGTGCAAACAGATTTTTTTAAACACTTTATCTGCTTACTCATTTCACACACCAACAATTAAAAAAAAAAGTTTTCTAACCCCAACACATTTGTACAGCAATTTAAGTCAACTACAATTAACACAATCTGTTGGAATTAATCATGCTACCTGATGTCAGTTTACTTTTTTAAGCAGAAATCTGGTCTTTGCGATCAAAACATTTATGTATTTCAGAAATATCTTAACTCTCATTATCTTGAAATATATAAATGCGCTGCACGCTGCGTAGGTTGGCTTGCCCACAGCAAATTCTGCTGTGATTTACACAGTGGAACTGACTAAAATGAGAACCTTGAAGTTCTTCTCTCTCAACCTTTCTCTCCCCCACCCCTCTCGTCCCTCTTCTCTCAGTTGCTAACATTTGTTCGGGGAAGATACCTGCCAGAGTTCCACTGTGAACCAGTATTTTCTAATATCAAGTCATGTTGCATCAGTCAAGCTTTATTATGTCACTTCAAACATACAAAATGCTGTTACCTCCCTGACATAACTTGACGTGATGCCACAACACATCAAGTCAGAAACATTATTATTGTTGTTATTTTTTCAGTCTGCCCCTTCATCCTCAATGATATCCGTGAAGACCCACAGAAAAGTATTATTGAGTCTCTACTACTTCTCTGCACCACAGAGCGTGCTTGCCAAGGAAGCTTTTTGCTCACAAACCCGCAGTGGAAACACAAATCTGCGGTTATCGCACCGCTGGGGCAATCCTGGTGTCACACTGGGGCTGGCACACAGCCCTAAGGCGCCAAGCTGAAAGAGTGGGCAGCTGCCCCTGAGGCCAGTGGCCATGGCCCAGCTTCCCAAGTGGCCTTCAGGGATGCAAAAGCAAGGGGCTCATATCTACAAGGCAGCAAGTGTCCTCCTTGCGATGCACCAGGACTTCTGGGAGGGGTAATCCTGAAATCCTGCCTTCTCTATGCAGTAATAACTATGAATACCCCCACCGCTGCCAGAGACCACTAAAGAAGAAAACCCCTCAAAGAAAGACTCTATATGGCAAAGTCTCTTAAATCAAGGGGAGAATTGGATAGTAGCCACAACGCTGGGATTTTTAGATGGTAAAACTCAGACCGGCTTCTGGGAAAAAGAAAAATAAAAGGAAAGAAAAAGAGACATTTATGGGAGTGAAACAGACCCATTTTTATTAACAAGCTCATTCAAGCTTGATTTCAAAAGGAATTGGTTTAGTTAGCAAAAGCTTCCATTTTAGTCCATTTGTAACCTATGCAGGTCCAGCATCCCCTTTCAACATTCACAGATGAGCGGGCAAGTGGAGCCCATTTGACTCAGGCAGAAAGAAACTTACAAAGGTAAAATGACCTCTTCATAAAACGAGTTTCTTCTCTGAGTCTCACCTTCTGTCCCCTGTTTCTCCAGGACACCTTTAAAAGTGACCATAATTTCTCCTTGAGCATAACTACTCCATCGGCAGCATAGGAGATTCCTAGGCATCACTGCACCTTGTTGCTCTGATCTTCACATCCCTCTCATCAGTTTGTTTCCTACTTTTCTCCTTTTTTAAGTGCATCCCGCACTAATTTCCTCTTTACCTCTCCCACCCACCACCATTATTCCCTTTTACACACAGCCACTCATGAAATCTCCTGGAAGGAGGCTGTTGAGAACTGTCTGGATAATCAAGGGTTCTAGTTTCATTTCCTTACAGCACCGTCAGGCCGGCCCCGAGCTCCTCGTGTTTAATGAGTACGTCTGAGACACTTGAAAGAGCCCAAACAGCCCTATTAGGAAACCTTCTTCAGATCTCGGTCTCTCCTCGCAGCTCACCTGTGCCTCTCGCCCCGGCAATGGAGGCAGCATCCTGCTGGCAGCCTGTCAATCACACGGAAACAGACGCGGGCTGGCAGGCACCCTCCGACAGAGAGCCACCGGGATGAAGACATCACCCGGTTATTATTATTAAGGGGTATTAATAGAGATGTTAAGATCCCTTCCTCCCTTTTCCTCCAGCAGCTGAGCAAAATTCAGGGGACTCTTGCAACGCAGGTTTACCCCTGAAAGTGAGGTCGGAGAGAAACACAAACCTTGTTCCACACACCAGTAAGAACAGTAAGAAATTACCCGTGTTTAATTCCTCGGTCATTACTCAGTCTTTTTACCTAAGTGCACAGGGGGCGAGGAATGAGGAAAGTCTGTTACCTCTCACTGACCAGTTAGGTAAGTTCATTCCCTCTTCTCCAACACATGTGATTTCCACTGGAGCACTCCAGACCCCATTAATAACACTACATCACTTTGCTTCAGAGGGCTTCAAGCAACTGGAGGAAAAAAAGATGCTGGGAGAGGGATTCTCCGAGGGCCCAGAGGCATGTGACGAGCGTGCAGCGAGCTCCCTGCCCACGCACCTCTGTGGAGCAGCGAGCATTTAGAGCATTTAACCTTGCGGCTGTCAGCGCCCGGCCCCCTCCCGCACGGCCGCTCGCACCGCACCAGCCAGCCGGGGGCTGCTCTCTGTGCCCCGTCCCGCTCGGCGGTGTCGCGGCGGGCAGGCTCTCCCCGTTCTGAGGCAGAAACTCCAGATCAGAAGACGAGGGGAAGGAAAAGAGGTAGAGTGGAGGGGAAAAAAAAAAAAAAAAAAAAAAAAGAAAGAAAAAAAAAAGGAAACAGCGAAGGAGAGAAGAGAGCATCTCCCACTTGTCCCTTGAGCCTGGCATCCACTTTTCCGAGTTGGAGCCCCCGCCAGCCCGGCATAGGGGCGTTCTGTGGCCATTTACACAAGCAGGCAGGGCCGCCCTGCCCGCAGCGGGAGCGCGGGGCGGCGTTCGGGCACCCGCGGCCTCGGGAGCCGGCGCAGCTGGCCCGGCGGGGACCCGCGCCGCGGCCACCGGCGCTGATGGCGGCCCGGAGCCGGGGCTGCAGTGTCAGACCGTCCCCGGCCGGCCGCAGCACGCAGCGGGGCCGCGGCCGGCCGCTGCCGTGCCCCCGCGGGGAACACCCGCGGCTCCCGCCCGGCCCGGCCCGGCCACCGCGGAGAGCGACCCGCGGCTGCGGCGGGGCCGCCGTCCCGGGCGTCCCCGGCCCCCTTTGTGCGCGGGACAGGCCGGGCGGCAGCGCCGTGCCGCGGCGCGGGGCAGCTCCCCGGCCCCGCTGCCTCCCTCCGTCCCCCGTCCGTGCCTCCCCGCCCGCCGCCGGGGCGCCCAGCGGGAGCGGCGGGCCCCGCGCCCCGGTCCCACCTACCGTCCTCCTTGTCCAGCACCATTGTCCCGGGCGCCGAGGGCGGCCGCCGCCGCCGCCGCTCCGGCTCCTTGGGGCGCTCCCCCTCCAGCCGCCGCTCCGGGCTCCGGGGCGGGCGAGGCGCCGGGCCGGGCACCGGGGCGCTGCCGAGGCGGGGGCAGCGGCGCGGCCGCCCCGGCGCTGCCCCGGGACGCGAGTTTGGAGCGGGGCTGCGGCGGGCTACGGCCGCGCTGGGCGCCGGAGAGCTGGAGCCGGGCTCCTGCACCAGCCGCCTCGCCCCCGGCCCCGCCGCTGCAGCTCGAGTGCCAGTTTAGGGATCAAAGAAGAAGGGAAGAGGGGGGGAGAGAGGAAAAAGGTAAGGGAGGACCAATATCGGGGGCTGCTCCCCCTGCTCCGTCCTTGCCCAACCTGCGCTGTCAAAAATTGTCTTAATGTAATCGCGTGTGATCGCTCACAACCTCTCTCCCCTTTGCTGTTGCCACTGCAAGAGCTTTCCAGGCTTCTAAAGTGCTTTTCTCTTGATTTCACTCTAAATCTAAAATTATATTCAAAGGAAGGGGGGGTGGGAGGGAGGAAAGATGTGAACCTATCACTGAAAGCAAAAGCACTTGCCGCCTGCCTCGCTCGCTCTCTCTCTCAATTTATGTGCTTTGCACTCTCTCCTGCTGCTGAATAAATGCACACATTTCCCAGGGACCCTCAGATTCCCCTGTTAATTAAATCAATTCATTATGCTCAGATCTGATTAGCAGCCCCTTCCCCCCCTCTTTGAATCAATTATTCAATACACAAACATAATTGCCTGTGCCAGAGGTGTCTAAGTATTAGCTTATTTAACTCCAAGGACACTAATTACCCCTAGGGCAAGGGAACTTTTCTCATTAATTCTGACAAAACACAAAAGCACAGTTAAAGTGTGTGTGTATATACGTGTGTGAGAGAGAAGATGGGGGAGCGCTAGCCGAGGGAGGGAGGCATTACTCTAGCACACGTGTTACTGTATAAATAAGCTCAATTTTTCTTTCTACCTTCACGTTAGATTTCCCCCCACATCTTGCCTTTGCTAAACTTGCCCCGTCTGCATCTATGTTTTTAAAATAAGGAACAGATTGGCTTTGCCAATCTGTGTCAGCTCTGGAGTGAAAGTGCTCGCATCCAAAACAAAAAGAAAAGTATATGGGACTGAGAGGGAGCGAAGCAGAATTTGGGAATAGTTTACTAAAGCAGAAAACTCTGTGGCAGACAATCTTCTGTACTTTAAAAACCCATGAAAAGTGCAGCCCTCTGAAGCAGCAGGTAAGATGATACATAATCTCGTATGTACTGGGAACAGTTCTGAATTGTTTACCATTTGAATTAATGTCAGTGCCCACTATTAATGTACTTGCTTCCTACGTTTACCATAATGGGCTTGATTTCCATTAGCTGAAGCTGGAATGCTAAAAAGAGCCTGGGCAAGGCTGATGCAAACCGAGATCGACCATCATTGTGGTGTCTGAGACGCATGACTTCTGGCTGGCGTGTTACCCAAGTTTTACCTCTCAGTGAACTTCCTTTAAATTTAAAAAAGAAAAAAAAAAAAAAGGGTAAGAAAAAAAAAGAAGTAGTAATTGATTCCCCCAAATTAGGTTTTTACTTCTAAAGACCCATATTGTTCATGTCCTCAATGTGCACAGAAGTATTGAAGATTTTCTTTTTGTTTCCTTAGGCAATGCATGAGCTGATCCATTAATCCATTTGGCTTTATATATCAGGAAACTAATATTAGCTCGGCTCATCTATTAGCTTTTATTTAGGTTTTTTTTGACTTTTCTTCAGGTTGGTTCCCCTTAACGGGAGACAGACAATTTTTGGTAGATTTCAGGGGGGATAGTGTTGCACACCATCTCATGGGAACTGTCACGTCCTCAGTTTCCCTTCACATTCACCCCTGTCAAGATACCCATTATTAAACTTGCCTGTCTGGCAACTCTACCCATTCTCTTTAAGGCACACCTTGTACATATCACCTATAGCCAAGGGGGTCAAAAATCCCACAAGCACCTCCTCTTCACCCCTACAAACAGACCCACAGCTAAGACTGCTTGGCAACAAACAATAAATATGCTTGGGAACATGAAGTTCTGTTTTATTAGTGCAGTATGTTTTCCTGTGAGTACACACATATAAGGATAAAAATGCTTTCAAGCTTTGTAACACAACAAACCCTGTTAAAACTCTGGTTTTTAATTTCCACTTTGTGGCACATACTGCACCCACAGGAACTTGGTCTTTCTAATGCCATGAATCTGGCTTGGGTTTTTTTTTTCCCCTCCTCTGAAAGAACACAGCAGCACTTGGAGAATGCTGACCCTGGAGAACATCGTGCATCAACTCATTCCTGAGTGTGCTTTTGGTCCTTGAGCCCATTCCTTTTCTCACTGTGGCCAAGGGGACTTTTGAGTGCAAAGCCAGAATTTCAAGATCTTGGTATGCAACTCTTGAGCCTTAATTCTGAGCGTGCCACAGGGATAGTGTGGTTTAATCTAAGCACAGACTTACTGAGCGGCAGAAGTTTGCGTGCACTGGAGCTCAAGGTCACTGTTGGGATGCCAAGGGTAGAACAGGAAGAAACTGAGGAAACAGAGGCTGATTTTGATATTGTTCTTCAGAAATTATGTTTGTGCTTGAGCCGACAAAAGTGGGGTCATTGGGCCTGAAAAGGACTTGGAGGGATAAATCAAGGGAGAATTTTGCGCTTGTGTAGGTGCATGAGAGAGCATCACACAAGGGGAGAAAAATAATGCCAAAACCACCAAAACATTTCATTCCCAAACACAAATCCTGCAATTTGAACAGTCTGCTGCAATCCTGCAGTTACAGTCATGGCCGTTTTTAGGTTTACAACTTTAATAAGGTGAAGAGACAAGCCCTAGTGTAAAGGTCCCCACTCTACGTAAATTACTTTTTCTAGTGTGATGAAGCATTGTCCTGAGTTTGTTTCCATTATATCTGCTCAGAGAGTTATTTCAGAGGAGTGAGAAAGTTTCAGTAATTTTTGAGACTCTTTCACCCAGTAGATTAAAAGCCTCATACAAAGAATTTCATCACACTTATTTTTTTAGTACCTTGACACTAGAGAAGAACAGCTAGATTACTCCTTTAAAAAGCACTTGTGTAAGCAACTGGTCCCATAACGAGTTACTGGGAAAACTTGACACAGATCAGTGTCTGGGAATAAGCCTCAGCTCCCCAACCCTCCATTCTGTGGAACAAAGCACTAAAACAGCTCGCTGCTGGAGGAGGACCAGACAACACTGCTGCTGGGGTGCCAGTTCATCACTGATGTGCACTGGTTTTCATTCAGTTATGGTGCCTCATCACTCCCTGGCTAGGCAGCTCTGAGAAGCCATCACGCTCAATACTGCAGGAACTACAGAAAAAAGGGAACAGCTGTGCTCTGCCCAGGAAAGTTTCTGGTCTAATACTAATTCCTGCTATTCCTAGTGCGTGAGGGAAGAGGAAAGCAGGAATAAACACACCTTTGTGCAGCCAGAGCTTGGCCTCAGACTTGGGTTTAACTTGAGGCTCGTGCTCACTAGCTGCCTGTACTTTTTTCCTTTTTGCTTGAGCACAAGCAAGAGAAAATGAAGTTTCTTAAGAACAACACCCCATTCTTATTAAATTGCAAAGTCCACAGTATACTTAAGCCTTTAGCAGACCCATGAGGTTTCATATTATCCTATGCTTGAATGAGGCAGATGACTAGAGCAAAAACCAGCTGATGACATAAAAGCATTCTTCTACTTTCAGTCTCTCTTAATTAAGGACTTGGTTAATGTTTCAGTGTTGGGAATTATAATGTTTCATCAGGAAGGTGAATATGTTTTTTATCTTTCAGCTGACAGGATTAGAAAAAAAAATCAAAATAAAAAAGGAAGGAGATTAAGTCACATGTGACAGTCAGAATCCCACAGTGAAGCAGCACCAGGCCATACCAAAGACTACCCTGCACATGGAGAATTTAGCAGTTGTTTTCATAGTCAAATTTCTCAGCAGATGAGACTTTTATCTGCCAGTTTGACACATGGGTTTTATTTCTTGAATTCACACAAATAACTGAGACAATTTGCACAGGTCTGTACTAAATTAGCTACAAAACATCTCTATTTTTACCTATTTCAGAATCACTTGCACCTACCTTGCTGGTGTCAGAAGAGAGTGACCACGAGCCTGACCTCATACTGCAATTCAGCAGCCCTGTAAAGGAGGAAAACCACAAGTACTCTGAAAAGTTATGTTCACACAGAACACGGGTGGCAGTTCAAAAGATCACTTAAATACATACCTGAGATCTACAGACCTCAATTATTTCTAAACTCTGGCTTGCTCTACTTCTCTGCCTATGCATTGTGAAAATAAATCACTCAATTCTGTTACTATGTTTTACGTGAAATGATTGTTAAATATTTTCATAAATATAATCTCTCCCTTAATAAAGAAAACTGTGTATTAAAAATACAGCATTTCCTTTGATAGAAGAAAATGGGAAAGCTTCAAAAATAAAATCTCTAGAGAGTAAGTTCTTTGCCACTATAAGACTGAAAATTTAAGTCATTAGGTTTTACAATCTGTAATGACCTTTTAGAGAAATTTACAGTGGATAAATTAGTTATTCAGAAGTTGTGTTGCTGCTCTCCATAGGAAAAAGTTAAAATGAATTTTTTTTTTTCCAAAATAAAAGTTGCAACACCTGAATTTTTGGACTGTTTCTGTTTCATAAGATGTTTAATGGGCAGATTCTGCACCTCTCATGTCCAGAACAGCTCAGCTGCAATGGAATACATGAAGTTTCTTTCTGCTTGATAAACTGGTATCAGGAAGGTTTTGTGAGTGGGTACAAACTGCTGGAGGGTGAGGCTGGGTGCGACACACTGCAGATCTGCCAGCGTGTGGCTGCCCTGCACCAACACAGGCAGGGAGAGGTCTAAGGACCCAAGTGAACAGCTCGAGAGGAGGCCCAGACATGGAGCTGGGACAGGCTAGATTTCCCTGGGAAAAGCATAAATACAGGACATGCTTTCCCAATAGAAGCCTCCTTTCTCCTTCCACCTCTCAAAACTCTCCCAGGTTCAAGTGAGATGTGTTCTTCAATTTGTATGAACAACACACGGACTCTGACTCTGCCACCTCTTCACACAGCAGTGCCTGTGCAGCTTCTTTAAGTGGAAATGAATCCTTAACACACATATCCCATCAAAAACAGAGCTCTGAACTTATGAATAAACTCTAGTGACAGTGTTTTCCTAATGTTCCTCACTTTCATTTGGATCAATAATTGACTTTTCTGTATATTCTTCTCTACTTTAAAGTCCATTGCTACTGCAGTGTTCTGCAGATGGTCCTGCCTTTTATTCCTCACCTTGGTAGAGCAGATAGGAGTAGATAGACCTGAAAAACAAATCTGGCATCCCTACATCTGCCTCAGTTGTTTCATGGAGGAATCCAGTGAGACAGTGTCTGGTTCTGGAGTGACACATGGAGCTCTCAGGCTTGTTGCCACATACTCTGTTATGATCAGAGCTTATTGCTCCCAGCCTGATGTCAAGCAGAGACTAATCAAATGTGGGATGGGTGAACAGAGACAGAGCCATGGAGCTGCCTTGTCATCATCTCTCACTATCAGCTCTTCTTTAAACTGCAGCAGCACACAGGGGTCCCAGCCATGGAGCTAGACCACAACATATTGTCCAAAAATCTCAATGCCCTTCTTCAATAAGATAGTTTCTTTCTTCACTGCCTTGCACCAAAGAGATCAGGCAAGACCGACACAGAATAGTTGGAGATGGAAACACACGAACTGAAAAGATAAAATGCAATGTCAGGCTCATGTTGCTTTATGATAACAATAACCTAAGACACTGTCAGTGTCCCCTATGTTTTGTGCCTCACTCTGCCTCTACTTGGCATGGATGACGTTTGCCAGGTCTTCATAACATCATTCTAACAACATATCATCTAAAAATGTTGACCCCATAGGAAAGTGGCTGCTGGCACAGGAGCTGTAGGTGCACACGAAGGATATGGTGTGGCAGCTGAACACACAACAGAGGAATTCCAGCTATTCCAATGTTAGGGAGGGTCTGTTGCACTGGGCTGTGTTTTGCACTTGAATTCATCAGCATCCAGTTCAATCTGAATCTAATGGTGATAATCTTCTTGATTCATTAGCGTGTGAGATGAGAAAACACATACACAAACCAGAGAGATGAATATTTTGGTGTTTGTTTGTTTGTTTTAAAATAAATCCATGCTGTGAAATTACAAGATTTTTCTCTGAATCCAAAGACAGAAACAAGTTCAATGAAGATGAAAGTTAGGGAGGATGTTCTGATAAAAGCAGGCAGGTGGAGGCTCTAATGAAGGCATACACTATAGTGCACATCTTGCCAATATTTCTTAATGAATAATATGTGCACTCAGATGAGAATAGTATTGATTGAGGTCTGCAGGGAAAGTTCTCTAGGAAAAATTTTTATTCTAGGAGCAGAGTCCTTTTTGGAAGATTTTGATCTTTTCCTGCTGCAACCTTTCTCCTCCCCTGTCTTTGTGCTACCCAAAGCAACTGACAGTCAAAAAATGAAAAGCCTCCCCTGCATCTAATGTATCTATCAGATCCAGAAAGAAATTTATACACCAGTACTAAGAATGGCTGCACCATTCTCCTTAGCTGGTAGAGGACACAGCAGTGTATAATTAGGACTGGATTACTTCGCTCAGAACTGGAACAGAGAGCAGATGTCTTGCATTAATATTGGCATTTGATTTCACACACTTTCTTTGCCATGTTTGCAAAACCAATTTGCCTTCCTATCTTGGATCTTGCCTTTCGTTTGCTCTCAGGCTGCTGTAATGCAAACAAAAAGCCACCAGTGGCAGTATGAAAGTACATGTAGAAGTTCAGGCCCTTACAAAGTGGGTAGAGCTTAGGATTTAATTACTAACGTAAAATATCAACTTATTTTCTGATTATGTTGATGAGATTGGTATGGTCAGTATGTTCCACTGATGCCAACTCAGACAAAAGAGGTCATGACATTAGAATGCATTTGTGAACATAAGCCAACAGAAAAGAAAGATACACCTCTTCCAAATTAATATCATCAGACTCTATCTGTAATACAGATGAGAGATGCATCCCCCTTCTCAAACATAGCTAACCTTTTTTCACCTGTTTTTCCACACAGGGGACTTCAGTCTTGATTTTGCTCCAGTTCAATGTTTCATCTACAGAATCCTTCCAGAGGGTCTACAACAAAATTTCATGCTGTTAAAAGTATTGGCCCAATTCTGAACTGCAGCCAGCTTGCATTTGATAGCAGCTTTACGGCTGCAGGTGGGTTCTGGAGGTTTCTTAGGACGCAAAGATGATCTGCCTTAATTTAGGAGCATCCAGAGGCTGATCATAATGTTCCACACTACAGCAGCACAGAATAACTGTAATATGGGCAGCATGCAAGCAGCAGGGTGATGCTGACCAACTCTAGAGTTAATACAGGGGTGCAACCCAGATTGCTTCACCACTGGAACTCTTCTGCAGTGGTAACTTTTGCTTCAAGACACTGTTTGCTTTACTTGGTGATGGGAAATGCTCTCCAGACCTTGCCCTGTGGCACCAGGAACATACCTGTATCACCGGTTTGCAGGTGGCAGCACCTGCTTGTATCATGCAGAGCTTTTCCTACAGAGGTGCTTTGGGAAGACGACTCAACTGTACCCAGATCTATATCCAAACCCACAGTTACTGCCTTTGTTCCCTTGTCATGCTAGACACTTAGAGAAGGGGATGATTTCTGTGACAGGATCAGGACAGACCAGGAGATTTTGTGCTTGTAGGCCACCACGTCCTTTCCCCATGAAAAACTATTCCTTTTCTGTCTACTCTCTGTACATAATGGCAGAAAGCCCCTAGTCCTAAAGAATGTGTTGGATATCTGAACAAAATGACAAATTAGGAAAAGACAACTGAAATGTTGTCTGGATAATTTCACATTATTCTGGCCCATCACCAAATGACAGAAGTGCAAGGACTAAAACAAGAGAATAACTGGAAAAACGGTAGTGGTTGCCACAGCTTTCTTAAAGCAGGTGAGAAACAGTCTGAAAGCTGTAAAGACAACTACAGAAATGATATCATTCTCTCAGTGAGAGCTAGAAAAGCTTCAGTGCTCACAGGGAGGTCAAGAAGTGAGAGCCCAGTGGATCATTTTGTTGCGTTTTTAATGCTTCATGGCACAGGGTCAGTCAGAAATCCCTATCCTGAGGTCATGATTGGGGCAGTGTGGAAAGCAATCTTTTCTGCTGCTGGCAAGGCCCTGCTCAGGCTCTGCTCTTTCCCTCTCTCTCAGATTATTACTGCCCACTTGTCCTGCTCATCATGCCATGCTTAAATTCACCCTGGGCACTGGCATTCAGCTTCTCTGGGATCACAGAAGCCCCAAGGATCTTCCCTGTGGCATTCTGTCCAGACTGTTGCAATGTGGTGCGACAAACAGCCATCCAAAGCTAACCCCGAGCAGCATTCAGAGCAGTGAAATTCCTTACTGTGCCTATTGATAAGCAAGGGCCAATATTTATTTTTAGCTCCACATTTAAAGAGCACGAGTGAGACAGAATGAGGAGCATGAATGGCAACAAACTTGTCTGATAACTAAGTAATGACTCCTATTTTTATGGCATTAGCCCCTTGTCAATGCAGCAGTTTGGTTACACTTGACGTGTGGGGAAACAGGGATTATCATCCCTCTCTGAACCTGCCTAGGAGATGCTTTGACCTAGAAGAAGTTTGACTTAGAAGAAGCTGAGAAGCACTGTTTGGAGGGCCTCCTAATGACTACATCTGTTTTAAATAGACATATTTTGACTTAGCTTCCATACCAGTCACTGGAGTCAAGTGATCACTTAAAAAGGCTGAGATACAACTCTGCAGTATTTTACAGTGGATTTAATAGCTAAGCCTTGGAGGAAAAAATACCACCCTGCAAGCACACAGCTGAAGCACGGACATTTAATGAATGCTGCTCACTGCCTAAATGTGAATTCACACTGCACCACTCTTGCAAATGATCTATAATGCCTTGCATTGCTAGTATATCAAATTTGCATAAATATACCTCAGATATTTATAAATCAATATATATAAGCACATGTTTAAAAGTGACTATCAAAAGTGCATACACAGAGAGTTCTTACATGCTCTAATTAACCCAAATAATCACATTTTGCCTTATTAAATTAAACATTATATGGATACAATGTAGCTTGCCATCTAAGCACTAAAATAGTGTTAGAGAGAAACATGACTGCCAAAAAAGAAACAAGAGAACATGCCCATGGATGAACACTTAACTGAAATGTAGCTGCAGGATCTAATGCCATGGAATGACTAACAATAATGTATATATTACTTTTAAACAAGTGAGCAGTTTTGGATAACTTTCCACTTCTCTCTCTGGTACTCCAGTTTCAGCCTAGTGAGCTACAACTGCTCAGGATAAGCAGAAAGCACTAAAAGAGCTTGCTAAACCTTTTGCCCATTTAGAAAGGTTTCCTCAGAAGCAATGAGAATTCCTTATTTCCTCCAGCTGCTTATTTACTGCCTTCATTTAATTAGAGCTAAAAAATACCAGCAACAACCATCCCTGATAGTTTTTAAACTCTTTCCAACTAAGAAACCCTTTACTTATCAAGAGGTACAAAGAAGCACCAGGGACAGCTGTGGAGTTTGGAACAAATTTCTTGGTGGGTCCCACTTTAAAGCTTTTTTACACCTAAGAAATCTAGCCCTGACTGAAAGGAAGTGATTAAAGTTTTTAAAGACTACAGAGTTTTACACAGAGTAGTGTGATACTCTGGACCAATTAAATGTCATCTTAAGTACTTAACTGAAGCTTTTTTTTTTTTTTTTCTTGTACACTAGGAATCAGTTAAGTGGAAGGTGCCAAATTAAACTTACATTTGAATTGACTTAATTTCAAGTGATTATGCATCGTAATTTAAGAATGATTTCAGAAAGCTTTCAGTAGAGCAGTCTCTGTTAAGTTGGCTTCAGGAGCACTGTGTTAAGTCTGAAAAAAGAAAACACGCCAGGGCAATATGACATGCTCAAGAGCAAATAAGTGCAACTGACAACAACAAAAGTGTTGCAATTAAGCCCACAATAACGCAGGTGGCATCACATGAGGAGGTCTCAGTCAAGAGAGACTCAGTCTGCACAAGGACACTGAGTGAGTTTGTTCCATTTCAGGCAAGAGCAGTAAACCCCAGGTTTTCTTTCTCCAACATGTGACAAGTTAATTTGCCACATGTAATAACATGATATAATTACTCACATGCCCTTTCTTTGAGTGCTTTTCTCAAGCAAATATTACTTTGATACATATTAGGGACAAGGGGATATAATAAAACGTTTAAAAAATGAGGCAGGAGGTCCTGCAGTTAAAGAACTAGACTGGAACTAGGGAGACTTGGAATTTAATCCAGGTCTGGCATGTTTTCCATACACTTCTAGCAAGTCTCTTGGGCACCAAAGCAAAAGTCAGGTGGCTGATATAACTTTTCATAAGTGCTTCGGTGCTCTTGGCACAAACAATTAATTAGAAAATAGAGGCTAGATGGCTGAATAGACATAAACTAAGAGTGGAACCCTTGGCTAACACAACCCTGGCCACCCTCCCCATGCCCCCTTTTGGAATAGTGGTTGTTTTCATTGTTTTTGTCATTTATTTATCTGTTGACATGGGTTATGCCAGTGAGTGGGGCTAAAGAAGGGTCCAATAACTGGTGCACAACTTCCAGGGCAGCCTGTTGAAGGCAAAGGATGGGAATGGGTTGGTTTTGCTGACCCCAGTGCAGCTCCTCATACCCACCTACCGACCTTTCTTCAATATATGGCCTAACAGCTTGACGTCACTTTCATGTAACAAAATACACCATCAGGGCCCTTGAGATCAGTTCCTAGAAGATGGGAGAGCTGCTGTAGCTCTTTCATGTGCCTGAGAAGGTGTCACCTGGACAACAAACCAACAAAATAACAAACCAACCAAATAGTATTTTCTGTCTTAAGGTGTGCTCCTGTAATTTCTCCTGTTTAATTTACATGTCATCATTAATAAATCATTGGGCTGGAGCAGGAAGCATTACTCCAGGTGACAGAATAGGTTACTCATCTTAGTTACCACTCTCTGTTTTGCAGATTCTGTTAGTGTTTTACATAGAGCAGTCTTTGGCTAATCTGTCACCACTGGCAGAGATTCATCCCCATGCCAGATGATTGGAAAAGAAGGGTTTTCTCTCCCTGTCTCTAGGTTTGCA